GGAGGGAAAGGAAGGAAGGAAGGAAGGAAGGAAGGAAGGAAGGAAGGAAAAGAAAGAGAAAGAAAGAGAGAGGGAGAAAGAAAGAGGGAGAAAGAAAGAAAGAAAGAAAGAAAGAAAGAAAGAAAGAGAGAAAGAGAAGGAAAGAAAGGAAGGAAGGAAGGAGGGAAGGAAGGAAGGAAGGAAGAGAAAGAAAGAAAGAGAAAGAAAGAGAGAGGGAGAAAGAAAGAAAGAAAGAATTAAAATGGAGACAGCAAGGAATGCCTTAGAATACACAGCCTGGGGACGCCTGGCTGGCTCAATTGGTTAAGTGTCTGACTTCAGTTCAGGTCATGATCTCACGGTTTGTGGGTTCCAGCCCCGCGTCGGGCTCGATGCTGGCGGTGCAGAGACTGCTTGGGATTTTCTCTCTCCCCCCCCTCTTTCTGCCCCTGCCCCACTTATGTGCACACATGCTCTTTCTCTCTCAAAATAAATAAATAAACTTAAAAAGAAAAAAAAAAAAAAAAGAATCCACAGCCTGGACCAAACTGGACACTTCCTAAGTTTACTAGTTTCTTTTCATCATCTTCTTTTGAAGATTTGAAGTTTGATTGAAACTCACTAAAGAATACTAACCAGGGTAGGAAAGCTTTCTTTTCTGCAACCCGTGACAACTCATTTCACGCATTTGTGTGTATTCCTGGAGATATGGCTGTACAGTCCCTACATGACTCGCCTCTTAGGATCGTGTTGGAAATAAATGCAGGATCGATAGGAGAGGTTATCGAGATAGTCACAAGGGGATGCTTCTGCTTCAAAACAAAGCAACCCTACCAAAGACCAAGTGTCTAACTATGGACTTTTGAGCTCGAATATAAAGGAAACACATAAACCAACCAGACAATGCCAGGGAGCTTTCACACAGAGGTTGACAGACACTGGGCTGGGTGGAGTAGAAGAGTAACCTGAAGAAAAATGGAAGAAAGAAAAAAACCACCTCTGGCCGAGGCAAAGAAATGACGTCAACTGAGCATTGTCCCTTGGAGTTATCTGGCTGCGGTTTCCGTTCTAACCTCTGGGCACAACCTACTTCCCAGGTTCCTGTGGGAACTTGGGAAATGAAGGGGAAAAGGCAAGTGGACAAGGGGAACTTCCGAAGACAAATCAAAGGCAAGCGCAGGGGGAGACCAGGAGAAAGGGGAAGAGAGCGCAGGGGAGGAGCCGATGGCCCAAAGATGGACCTGGGACGGCAGGGATGGGACTCTGCCCTGCCGGAGACAAAGGGAGACCTTCCTCCTGATGGTCAGGAAGGAGCAAGCCACTGGCTGGTCCTGAGGAGAAAGAAGGGTGGAAGATTCCAGAGCCAGCCCTGACAGGGCAGGAAAGTTGGCCAGCACTGAATCCACAACTAACCGGAAAGACAATTTTAAAACCCAGGCCAAGAAAACAGCAGGCAACTCTATAATCATTATGAAATGCTATGAATGCATTATTGGGCAATCTACGAATAACAAATGAGAAATAATAAAGAATGCACTGATGGGCACGGTTGAACAAGTGATAAAGATCAACAGTTTCTTGTATTTAAAAAAAAAAACAGTTGAAAATCTACAAGAAGAGGTAATGGGGCGCCTGGGTGCCTTAGTCCGTAAAGCGTCGGGACTCTTGATTTGGGCTCAGGTCATGATCTCACAGGTGGTGGGTTCGAGCCCTGCGCTGGGCTCTGTGCTGACAGTGTGGAGCCTGCTTCGGATTCTGTGTCTCCCTCTCTCTCTGCCCCTCCCCTGCTCACACTCATGCTCTCTCTCTCCAAATAAATAAAACATAAAACATAAAAAAAAAAAAAAAAAAAAGGAAAATCTCACTGAGCCTTGAGTTTTCTCACAAAGAAAATAAGTGTAACAGCCACTATCTCTCAGGCTGTAGTACAGGTGGCTGCTACGGTAGAGGTGCCTGGCACCAAGTTCTGCTCAAGACACAGATTTTATTCTCTAACCACATTTCTTTTTTTTTTTTTATTTAAAAAAAAATTTTTTTTAATTTTTTTTAACGTTTTTATTTATTTTTGAGACAGAGAGAGAGACAGAGCATGAACGGGGGAGGGACAGAGAGAGAGGGAGACACAGAATCGGAAGCAGGCTCCAGGCTCTGAGCCGTCAGCCCAGAGCCCGATGCGGGGCTCGAACTCACGGACCGCGAGATCATGACCTGAGCCGAAGTCGGATGCTTAACCGACTGAGCCACCCAGGCACCCCTCTAACCACATTTCTTAACCCGGCCCTGAGATATTCTCATTTCCCTCAACTGAAAAGTCTGCAGATCCTCAGAAAATGCTTCTTTAGAATCCTCCAGGGCTTCTCCCTCCCTGTGCAAAGTTTAGGTCATGGGCCTTGGAAATGAGGGTGGGGCAGAGGAAGGGTGGGTTTCCCAACCGGACACGGCCCACATCTCCCCTTCTACTGACTCAGATACTGGAGCTCACGAAAAGAAAAAAATAAATACACCAGAGGAACTTGAAGAGAGAGGAAGAGACCAGTCATCAGGAGCGATTCAGGAAGGGAGTGCTTATGAATGAAAAAGGAGTAGGGGCCACAGGAAAAGAATCCCTTTGGGAAGCAGTCAGACGTGGACTGGCCGGCAGCACGCTGAAGCTTGCTCCTCTGCTCCCATCAGTAACCAACACATTTTACCCACGAATGCCTCAAGGCCTCAGGGCTGATCCTGGGGTCTGCAGCTGGGGCTGCAGGGGGAAAGCACAGCGGGGGCGGCACCGGGAATTTTGGGGTGAAGCGGCCCCAACTCCATTCCTGACTCTGTCACCTCCTAAGTGGGTGGGCCCCCAACTTCTCATCTGTGGAACAGGTACAACACTATCTCCCTCTCAGGGTTGCCGGGATCGAATGGGACACACAGGACCCTGCCTGGCGTGACATGGGAACTCAAGGCACTCTTCAGAAACCTGTGTCAACCCTTTACGTCGGTGAATGCCATTTACTCGCTGACAATGAGGGATTTTGCCAAAACAAGTAGATTACCAAAGCAAAAGGTTGCACAATAACCTTCCACCTTGTGGCTAATTCTGATTTGAGAAGCTGTTACAACAGGCTTGGAGGCTGACCGAAGGACCTGGTAAGTCCCTCCATGCCCCAGCAACCCTGCCGCTAAATGGATTAGCTTCTGTCGGTTCATAGCCCAGTTCTCCTGCTCTCGGAAACCTGAGCCTGGGAACAGTCCGTGGGGCAAGAGGCTGAGTTCACTGCCATTCCACGGGAGGAAGTCGCACTTCTGACCACAACACTCCCATGGCCCCTGTCCTAGACCACACAGCAAGGAGACTTGCCCAGAATCAGAATTTCTGCAGGGGCTTCAGCAAAGCCCCAGGCACCCTGAATGAGTAATTAGCAAAGACATAAGCAGAGTTGGACAAAACCAGAAAGGCTGAATCACCTTGATCTCTCCTCGTGGTCAGCAGCCCTGAGGTCCTGACCGATCTGTCTTTACTTCCCCTTCTGTGTGAAGACCTCTGGGCTGGGAGAATCCACTTCTAACCATCAGTGTGACACTGCAGAAAAGTGTCTGATTTGCAATCAGAGCAAAACCAAACTTGAATCTTTTCTCTGCTCCAGGCCAGCTGGGGGACCCTGAACCAGTCACTCTGCTTCTCTGAAATTTCTGCTTTCTCTTACAGAGTAAGGGGATTTGTTCATTAAAAAAAAAAACCTCCAACACATATCGTGTACATCTGTTCAAAATTGTGAAAGACAGAAACATGAATAAAAAATAAGTTCCTCCATGCAAAAAGAATATGTTCACATTAAAAATTAAATCTCGGGGCGCCCAGGTGGCTCAGTCAGTTGGGTGTCCGACTTCGGCTCAGGTCATGATCTCCCGGTTCGTGGGTTCGAGCCCTGCATCAGGCTCTGTGCTGACAGCTCAGAGCCTGGAGCCTGCTTCGGATTCTGTGTCTTCCGCTCTCTCTGCCTCTCTCCCGCTGATGCTCTGTCTCTCTGTCTCTCTGTCTCTCTGTCTCTCTGTCTCTCTGTCTCTCTCTCTCTCTCTCAAAAAGGAATTAAATGTAAAAAAAAAATTTTTTTTAATTAAATCTCATTCTTTGACTAAGATTTTTCTCCCCAATTGCTAAAATAACACTGCTGATTGTAGACAGGTAGCTTACAACAGAAAGGACTATGTCTGCTCGTGAACCCCCATCCCCAAAATGATGTATGTGGAAGTCCCTGGCACACCCAACTCACTCCCTAAATGGAGTTCTCTTCTCCTTCCTGGTCCTAGCTCCCAAACTGGGGTCCTGTGGAATTCAACAAAAACTCTTTAGAGAGGTCTGGCTGAACTCAAGCTGGCTCCTCTGGTCTGAACCAGCCGAGTCACATGTGGGGTGAGTCACACTCCTTCTTGCGAAGTCATTTGTGTTTCATTACATGATTTGCATACTGGTGAAACAGGTCGGTACTGTCCTCTTACTTCATTTCCATTGCTCTTGGGACTGCTCTGCTCAGAGTGAAAAGGAGGCTTTTGTCCCTCCTTATGTCCCTGCATATGCTCTCTTCCTGGAAGTCGGTCCAGATCACTGACACCCACAGGGAGAAACTTTCTCCTTCCTCTCAGCTCCTCCACGGCTCACGCCTGGCTCTGGTGCCTGTGCCTGGTGATTCGTCTACGTGGTGCAGAACGGGCATTTCTCTCTGGGAAGCTATT